AAATCTATGCATTATGTTTTGTTCTTTTCCATCTGCGCCATCTACAGTATATACTTGTCCGGATTCATTACGGTTAAATGGGTAAGAAATTCATATCTCTGAACATATATCAAAGTAAATCCAAATTCCTTTACTTGGCGATTTGTAATTGGCGAACTGTCGCTTCCAATGCGAGCATTCTGAATGAATTCTGCATAGAGCGGGTGAGTTTTTGGTCGAGGAATTTTACAGAATTACGCAAAATCAAAATGAATCTGTAAAACTCATCCGGAAAATTGCAACTCACCCGGCAAATCTGTAAAATTCACTATAGGCAAAAGTCATCCGTTCTCGCTGAGTTGCCACACGTTGTTTTTTTGGATCTGGAATGTGAATGCTCGAGATAAGATGTGATATCCAGAGTGATTTTACGTTTTGTTTGTTTCTAAATTTAAAGAAATCTCCGGCAGATTCCTCAAATTCAAAGTTTTGCGCAGCGGTAATATGTTTTTCGTCTTTGTTCACTATTCCGCCATATTATTCATTTGAGTTTCAGTCGTGGAGATATAAATTTTGACTGTGTGCCCTTCCGAGAATATGGCACGGTCGTTCGGCGAGGCTGAATTGGTCTTTTCGGCCGCTTATGCACAGATTCCAACGAGGACAATTCGTATACAGAGTGAGCAGTTCTTGAAGAATTAATTTCTTTTTATTTCCGCCAGCATTTCTGCATCGTTTTCGTTGTTGTGGATGAGTTGACGGAAAAATGGAATATTTTCAGAATGTACTCATTGAGTTTTGAAATTAAAATATCGAATTGATAGCAAGAAAATTAAATATTTTTGAAATTGAATATTTTATTTTTTTGAAACTTTGAAAATTTGAAAAAATTAAATTGTTTGAATATTTTATTGGACGGTTTGATTTATGGTACGAATTACGCGATTTCCAATCCTCTAAATTGTTTTGAATTACACTGGTGTTGCTGCTGGATGGTAGTTTGTTATTGTGTTTGAATAATTCATCAGACCATCTAAAATACCGGACGGGATTGTGAATGTGGAACGTTTTTGCCTTCCATTTCAGACGGTACAATTCGATCGCTAGACGGTGATGAGGTGGAACCATCGGCAGGATGTTTCAATTTCGGGGAGATTTCTGCCTATAAGGATCGATTTTTGATATGGTAACGATTTGCTACTTTTGCCTTCATTGATATTGTTAGTATTTTAATCAGTACCGTTTTTGTAAGTGTGATTCCTGTTAGTATGTTCCTAGAAATGAATCGATTATGAATGAGTAACGAGTATTACTCTTGTTATTCTTATTCTGAATTATCGTTTTTTGTTTGATGAACAATTACAATNAGATATGTTCTTTAGTATTGGTGATATGGAACGAGGAGAGTATAATTTAGAGTATTTCGTATTGAATTCATCGTTACAGGCGTGCTAACGGAAGTAATTTGACGATAGAAGAGCGAAGTGTTGAAACGGATCTGTTGAATGGGACGTGCTTGCTGATCAATTTGATCCGATCTCATATTATACCAGGAACAGTGTTCACTTTCTCGAACGGTAAACTCGTCTTCATCGTACCGACTCAGACAACCATACACCGCTTCTTCATTCAAATGCCTACTGATGACCCATCTGGCTTGGTTTGTTTTTGCTGTTATTATTTTGACTATTATTATTGTTATTGTTAGTGGTGTTATGATTGGTATCTTTGTTATTTTATTTGTTGAAGAAATCATTCATATCCGAACTGCACGATAATACATCCGTATCGTTGTTCCACGATAAATACGAACTGACAACACAAGGATGCATCCAGCGTGCAGGTATATTGCACAGCAGCAGTAATGGCACAACGATTGGATGTTTTATGAATGATGGACGCTTCGTTTTGGTACAAATGCATCATGTCCTGGGAGCAGTTTCGGATGGTTAGTGATCTTTTTTGTTGGATATGTTTGTATATGGAATTGGTAATTGAGTAATAGGAGCGATTGTGTGCTCGTGTTGATATGGGATGTATTGCAGTGACAGAGAATGTGCTGAAAAGTGACAGTTTCTTGCATCGAATGATAAAATCGGAATCATCAGACTCACGAGTGATAGCGTCGCTTACACCGTTCATGGGGAGTACTGGTGGAGGACAGATGCTATTTTATGTCCTGTATAAAGATGCGGATTTACACGTTTATTCGGTTAGTTGTTTGTGAATTGATCAGTATGATTTGATATGGTTTTATTATTTGTTGAGTTGTTTGATGGAGATTACGGTGTTAGATGGTCATTATTGGAGAGCGTTCATTATTGATATTGTTATTATTGTTGGATTTAATGCTAATGTTGTAAGATGTTGTTAGTATTATTACGTTATTATTTATTGTTATTGTTATTATTATTGAGTATTCCAGACAACAGCAAAAGTATTCAGCGTGAATTTGCCGAATCAGTTCAACTGGGACACGTCTGTGAGCGGTGCTTCGGGTATAGTTTAATGAGTCGATTCTTTTTTTTTGGTCTGTTAGAATGTTAAGGATATTTAATGTGGTTTGATATTCGTATCATAAAGATTGATTTTCATTTATTCTAAGGGTATATTTTTGTTATTATAAATATGATTGCGATTGTTGTTGCAGTAATTGCGACTGCTTTGAAAATATTCGATTGCGTTGGGCGAATCTACGTGGCAACTCAACTTCAAGGCGATCGTAACAGTGGGATGTGGAGATGAGATTGTTTTGTATTGGATTTTTAGTGAATTCGATGTTTTATTATTGCATCATTATGATTTGTGTCTTTAAAGTTCAGTCGTTGATTTGCGGATTTGTTTCAGATTCTGCTCGGTTACATTCGTCCATCGAAACCGGGTGATTACAGTGGCCTTTTGGTGCCGTTGAGAACTCTGGCGCTGCCGAATGTAAGAAATAATAATGATGTTTTATTAATCTGAGTCAAAATTGAGACGGAAAATGTAAGCGGATTCAGCTGATAATATATATAGTTTGAACGACGGTGTTCGATAAGTTCATTTCGTTTTTTACGTGAAGGAGATATCTGAAGATATTGTGAGCGATTTTTGCAATATTAAGGAGGTATTTTCTTCAGATGATTGATGTAATCATCCATATGATAGTCAAAAAGCGATGGAGAGCAATGATTCTAGGTGAGTATGTGGATGATAATTCTAGATAGCAGTACTGATGATTACAGGTGGATGTGATGGACTTTTCGATGATCGATAGCGAAGATGAGATAAAGTTATTGGCACTTTGTCGTACGGCTGACGGTCGACATTGTTTGATGACTGCTTCATTGGACAGGTAGTATTTGAGATGGGAATTGTTTTATTTGTTCATTGGTTTTTGGAACGGAGTAGAAAGCGAGTGGAATCGTGAAATGCGGATATCGTTGCAATTGTATCGCAAAGCATAGATTGTATGAGTTTGAATGATGAAATAATTTGAATAATAAAGAAGATGACTGATTAAATAATGAACAAAGAAGATGATAAAGAATGATTTCAAATTTTTAAATAATGAGTAAAGAATGAAGATGATTGATTTCAGCTCAATTGGAGATGCGACACTACGAAAGGACTGGGAAGAGATCAGTGTACCGCAAGCGTTCAACGCCGAAATCGACTGTTTTATGGCGCAGAGACTGGGGCCGTGTGCGATGAAACGTTATCGAATCTTCGACGCGGATAACTTCTCCTTTGATGTGGTTGTGAGATCGTTGCAGGTATATATTTTGTTTGTGTTCACTTGGTTATTTGTTCATTCATTGTTGGTTTTGTATAGAAAAGTGAAAGGCAGCAATATCTCGGGAAATTTGCAGTGAAAGCAAATGCAATAAATAGTTTGTTATGGTAGGCATTTTGAACGGGCATTGGTATTGAGTGATATTTATTCGTTATGAATTGCATTGATGGTGTGGTTTGATGATGTTGTATTGTGATAGTATTAATGATAGCGAACATAATGTGGCAATAATAATGGAATGTTGCAGTTAGTGTGTAAACATGAAGGTAACGAGTCGATCTTTTCTACAGTACAACGAAATGATTGGAAAGGATTGGGTGAAGCACTGGACCAGTATCTGAATTCACCTCAGGTATCATTTATGAGCGTTGTTATTATTGTTCTGATTGTTATTATTATTATTTGTTTGTTCAGTTATATTAAGAATTCATAGTGTGAAGACAATTTAA